ATTCCTGCTTGCTTTCCCAAGACAAAGCAGCAGCAATGAAAGGACTGCAGGGATATTTATTGCTTAGCTTTTACTTGCTACAGCAAACAATTTGTTCAAAGGACAAGAACTATGCAACATTTGTAAACAATCAAGATTAATTTAACCTTCCAAGAAAGCTCAATTGTCAAAGTCAGTTGAAGAACACATCAGAAAACAGACTGTATAAAATGCCCAAAAACTCATCTTCAGCAAAATTCAATTTGCAATACAAGACTGATTGCCCTCCTTCAGGGCCTAATTCACCACTGATATTGTGCATGTAAGAATTACAGATTAATGTCACATATGGAATTTCAAATGATTCTTACCATTCAGAATGAAAGCTCAGGTCTCATCACCCAAAAACATCGTAAAAACACTCTGGTGCACAAGCAGCACCTGTATGGACCTTTAAAAGCTTTGTCCAGTCCTAAAGGAAATGGTTGAGGGTGGTGAAGGTCAACATAGACATAGGAGACGAACATCCTCCACTTTTCCAGTTGGCCAGGGTAAGATACCTGTCAAGCCTTTCACCCAATAATAATTGATTAAATACCAAAACTCTGACTCCCTGGAACAGAAGCAAGTGTACAGACACATGCAGAAACCTAAGCCACATTATGTGTCTGAATTCAGTTCTATCATATCTTGGGATGGGGGAGCCCCCTCTACCCAAAACCCAGACTCTGGTCTTGCTCACAGCAGCTTTGGAGAGCCTTTGGGAAATTTGGATGCAAGAAGCACATGCTGAAAAACAGAACTGAAAATCTTAAAAACACTACATCAAGAAACCAAACATGTTGAAGAATTCACTAAAGCTCACTTGAGATATTGAAAAAGTATGCGTAAGGCTAACACATACATTAATAATACACCACTCATATTAAAAAAAAAAAAAAAAGCAAGCCACACACATATACAATACCTGCACTTGCATGAGATCTTTAACTGAATGATCTTAAAATACATTTTAAAGAGTATGGTTGCACAAATTAAGAGCAGGGAGTTAAGATCAATCCATTTCCCCTACAGCAGACAGCATACTGTTTTACTCACTAACCCTACATGTAGGAAAAGAAACAAATGTCATGAACGGATAGAACCCTCCAAAATTATCAGATTTTTTTTTTTTAGACCCAGTAACACAATATTAGATCACCTGCTTCTTTTGAAGGTAAGTCTGAAAAGCCAGGTGTGCAAGTGTACACATATATTTGTGAATTATGGAAAATAAATAATACATAAAACAGGCACTGCTTCAACGGTTTCAGACACGAATTTTATGTCCAAAACAGAAAAAAAGAGAAAGAAAATGTGACTCCAGCACCAAAATGTTCAATCTTACAGGAACATAAATGTATTTACTAGAGCAACTCAAAGTTACTGGTTTGCAGTAAAAAAACCCTGGTTTGCACAGGTGACTAGTATCTACAAACTAGTTACTCAGTACTGCCATCACCCTGGCTATAGACAGTAGTCTTGGCTCTTGTTGTTGTTTTCCTTTGGAGGGGGGAACGGATAAAGATGGCACAAGAAGCTTTGCATTTGCCTGTCATATGGTTTGGGGGTTTTGGTGGTTTTTTTCCTGGTGGTGGTTTTTCTGTTTTTCTTTTGTTGTTGTTTTTTAAAAGCAGTTGTACTACTTACCATCTTGGCACTGAAATGGCCATGAGCAAGCTCTCCTACAAAAGTAAGCTTCTTGGGTTGTGATCTCTGAAGGAGATGCTTTTTCACTCCTTCTATGGCTCTCATATAGTCTTCCAACAGCCTGTGAATTAAAATAATTCCCAGTTGGCTCACATACATGCAGTCAGAACATAGCTGATGTTCAGCACAGTCCTTTTGTTCAGTCTAAAGAACAATATTTAACCAAATGTGAAAACTGACAGAAAACCCTGGACATTAATTAATTATCACTACCATGTAGCAATATTGGTAAATTTTCAGGTAAACACTAAATTTAAATATTAAAGAAAACATATCCCCAACTCTGTTTCTAGGCAGTAACCAGATTTTATTTCAGGAATCTTTAGATGTACAGTAAATCAAATCACAGAAAATCTAGGCTGGTAAGGACCTCTTAGAGGCTTCTAATTCAACCCTCTGCTCTGAAACAGATTGAATTAGATCAGGTTGCCTGAGGGCTTATCCGAGCAATTTTTCAGTATCTCCATTCAAAGATGGACATTCAATGGCTTTGAGCAATCTTTTCCAATGTTTGACCACTCTCACTGTGAAACACTGTTTCACAGTATTTAATTGGATTTTCCCTTGTTTCAAAGTACTTTAATGTGGAAAAAAACCCTGTTGAATAATTCCATTTTGAAGCTCACAAAATGCCATCGTTCATGGTCCCAAAGACAATGGTTCTCCATTTACAGTAAGGTATGGCTTGGAAAAAGCAGTGATGCAAACTTTCTTCGTAAAAATGCACCTGCTCTGATACAAAGAAATGCCTCAGAGAGGACCGTTGTCGCTCTGTATGCATTTAACCCCTTGACATGAACATGTCCTACATAATTAGCTCATAAGGAGACAAAAACTGCTTGGATTTTTTGCTTGTTTTGGAGGAAACCTTCTTTTCCAACATCTCTAATTCCTCTCCTACTTGGAAACATTCTCTTCCACTTATCCAGTGCAGATAAGAGTAACATAAGAGACCTAAAGCAAAGTTTACACAAACATCAAACTTCAGAATTTTCTTCTTTCTAAGAAAAGTTATTCCTTATGGACTAAATCTCCCACCTCAACCATCTTGTAGGATTCACCCTTCCCTAACAAACCCAGAGAAAACACAGACAGTGCTGGTGAAATGAAGTATCATTTCTATGCTTCAAATCTACTGCAAAGACTTAATTCTCTTCTCCTGTCTGTAACACTCCTCACATCTGATGTGCTGAGGAAGAGAAGTTTTCTGAGAAGGAGAAGTTGAGTCTAAGCCTAACTCTCATGCTGTTGCTCCCAGACCTCTTGCTTGGTTGCTTTTAAAAACAGTGATGTTTTCAGTCTACTGTTGGGCACATACATTATTTTTCTTTAAGCAGCAAATTACAACATGTTTTACAGCTGACATAACTCTCACACCGATATGAGAAGTGGAAAGAACTTACTCGTTTTCTTTTTTCCCACCCTGAATCCATTGCTTGAGCAAATACTCATAGTAGCTGTCAGCTCTGGCTCCCAGAGTATAGACACCCAAGTGAGTGAACTGCCCACTATTGGTGTTTATGAACATAGGCACTAGTCCATCATTTTTCCCTGAGAGGGTGTGAACATGCTTCATCACCTCATCTACAGCTTTCTAAAAGAAAGAAAATAGCAAACATAAATTACAGGTATAAATGAGGCAAAAAATTTTGGCTAGTAACTTCAGGCCAATAGCAAATCTTTATTCTTCCTCAAATTAGTATCTGGGATGTCAAGTTCAGGCTCATGCAATATATTAAATACAGGATTTCAAACTTTGTGACACTCAAAACATGTTCTGGATACATTTCAGTACTCTAATTATAACTATTTTCTTTCCTTCAAGTAAGCTCACTTTTCAAAGGCAGTACTATGGCACAGGAACATGATCTGACTTACTCATATTTGCTAAGTAGAAGTCCAGCTAAAATAACAACTACATGAATCATGCAAATAGCTAAAACTTCTTTAAGTAACTACATTCTTCAAAACTTCACCTGTGGATACAGTTTAAAACAACATCACCAAACAAAGAGTGGAAAATATTATTTTCTCTGGAATTATTTTTATTCCAACTAACTTTTCCTTATACTGTGACCTGCTGTCAGATCCTCATCTAGTGAGTCACATTTAAGTTTCCTGGATGGCAACACCAATGTCGTCTTCTTTGCATTTAGATAATGACATCAAGAAACCACACACAGAATTCTAACCACTTTAAGCGAGGCACAGTTTAGCTTAATATTTTTTTCAAAATCTGATAACCTAGTGTCAAACAAAAATGTCAATGATAAAAACTGGGGGGGCTGGGGAGGGTGGGGGGTGGTTTTGCTCTTTGGTGTTTGTTTGGTTTTTTCCTAAATCAAAAGCTGTTTCTGAGGGAGAAAAATAATTACTTACCTCAACTACTACTTTTTGGTATTTACGAAAATAATTGAAATTACTTTTTTTTCTTTTCCACAATTCATTTAACATCACTCAGAAACTACAGAGTATTGATGGAGAGTCAGTGGTGGTGCTGTAGAGAAGTGGAAAAAGAGAAAAACATTGACTGATTCTTCCATACCTGGAATTTCTCATCTCCAGTGAGACGCGAGAGCTCTCTAAACTCCAGCTGAATACTGGTCACCTCTGCCACAGTGCTGTCAGATGTCCATCGAGGTGGATGTGCAGTGCCCCGGCCAATGTTGACATCAGAATATGGTATCTTGGAGGGGGTATTGAACGCTGGCATAAGCCTGTTCCCAATGTCTTTCTAAAGAAAACCCAAGAGCACAGGACAACATAACAAAGAAAACAAAAAATATATACACACACGCACACGCCTTTAGATTTTCTTTCACCAAGCAGACAGGAAAAGACAGAATAGCAGCTTAGTTTTAGATGGTGCAAGAAAGCCAAGAATTTAAAAGCATCATGGATTTGTTCATAGTAATGAGTACAGAGTTTCTACTTTGTTCCTAGTATTGCCTGCTTCATTTGAGTCTGCAGTCCCTACGCACATGATGTAATTCTGAAGTCATTTGACTGCATCTAGCTAATCTAGAGGTGGCTGATGCTGTTAAGACACACAGAAAGGGCAACAAAAGACAACTATTACTCTTTTCCAACCATTTATTTCTTATTTTGTTTCATGAGCTTTATAATGGTCAGCTCTTCAACAAAAGAACAGGCATATAAGAATACCTGATAAAACACAGCAGGGCTCTGAGGTTTTCAAGCAAGCAAACAGAAGTGCAGGCTTAAAAGATTAATGGTAAATCCTTTTCCCACCACTTTAAATAAGAAACTGTTAAAAAACACCAACATTTCACTTTCTGATGAATCTTCACTCAATTTTGTCCAATATGGAATACATAATCCAATTTTATTTCTAAAACCAGTCACTCACAGCTTTTTCCAGGAAGAGGCTATCTCCAGAGAGATGGTAGGTGCTCAGCAAGCCCCCCAGGATACGAATAGTGCTCTCAAAGAGGTTCACATCCACATTTTTATCAAATACTAAATCGTTTGCTACCCATTTTCTTGCTTCTTCAAACTCTGCAAAGTATAAAAGTTAGTTCAGTTATGAACTTCTGGCATGTTCCAACAACTAGACTACAGCCAGTAGCACTCCATATATCCATGACAGTTACTTATATCTGTCTATCGAGATCATAATTTTCAGTGGAAAACTAAAATGAAGAGCACATGCTGGGAGAAGTTTGACTACCATTGGCTTAATTCTTATTCAGCATGCACCACAGATGCATACAGACAGAAATACCCAGCAAAATAAAAAGTTCCTAATAGTCTAAAAAAAGAAGAAATTGAGGATGTCTTTATTAAAATAGTCCAGAAATTGAGATCCTTTAAGTCCATCCATTTGACTTGTCAGACAATTAGTTACATTTCCACAGGGGCTTTCTGAACTTTTTTAAATTAAAGCTGTTATCTACCAATGTTATCTAGCAGATAACATTTTCAGTTAACAGCCATTAAGGCCTTTAGTCTAGCAATGTCCTGGGGAACCTGCCTCCTACTTTAGCACTTAACCCAAAAAATCCCAACAGTCTGCAATTTTTTCGCCAGAAACAAAAATGGTTGTTTATCACACTACTAATTCAAAAAGGAATGTAAAAAAAGCCACTTAAAATTCAACAGTTAGCTTAGCAGCAGCATCGCTCAATGACTGCTTTTGCACAGGGTCTAACTCCATGGCGCACTGAGTTAGCTCATGCCTCTAACTATGAAGGCTAAGCCATCTCAGACTATCTCTCACCTTCCAGAAACTCCTGCTTGTGAGCAGGTGCAGAAGAACAACCAGTTTCCCAGAAACGGAAGGTATTCCACAAGAGATTAACTCTAAAGCAAAAGAGCACCTATGCGTCCTCACAAGAAAAATTGTCTTGGATGTTGGGTAAACACTAGGTGTTGCGTAGACTGAGAACCACCACAGAAAAATCTCTGCTGTCAGATGTTAGCACTACCTAGCAGTACAAAAGAAAAGGTAAGGTCTTTTCACAGAAGCGTTAGCGTTCATCAGCTTATAAGAAAGACTGGCAACCTCAAACAGAAGTTTTATTTATATAGAAATTGTTATTCAGAAGAAACCCCAGGAGCCTTCTAAGGCAATCAGCAGCAGGCCTTCACCAAGAACCTATTTTCAACACATCTAAATTACTAATAATTTATTTTAAAAGCTCTGTGCAGGACGCAATTATTTTTTTACTAAAAAAAAAAAAAAAAAAAAAAAGCAGCACACTGTCAACTTGATGAAACTTCAAAGATAGTCTGCTCAGGCCCAGAGCTGCAAACACATGACATGGAGTTTTCGTTTGATTTAATATTTTACATAAACTTCAAAAGGTAGAAGAGACAGAATCAGCAAAGTCTTTCACTAGTTATTGTTCCCTTACTAGCAGCTCTGTTCTTCCTATCCTAACACAAAAAAAATGCATAATTGAGAAGTTTATGAAGGTGGCTATCTACCAAGGTTAAATAGATAGAGTTCCAGAAATTTTAAAATACAACTAAAAAAACCCCTCTTAAATACTGATTAAACAATTTTTTTTGCAACAGAATTGCAGAATTTTTGGCTTAGTTTTTAAAATGTTTGAAAGTTTTCTAACATAGTCACTTCCAGAATAACTGTGAAAAAATACAGACAGCAGAGCAGTTCAGGAAGGAGGTACTGAACCCTCCTCTTCTCCATCCATTGATTCCTTACAGAAACAACCTTCTTAAATCCAGATATGAAATACTGCTATTCGGTGTGATAAAACAAAACCTTGTCGCTTTCAAGCTAACTACCTAAAACTCATGGGTAGAAAGCCTAAAGTGGCTGTATAATGACACAAAGATAGCAGTAGGGTTTTAGTACCAAAACAAAAATCAGAAGGCTTATTAATCCATTCCTCAGTTTCTAGCAGACCTATCCATTTTTATACGTAATAGTGGATTTTTTTTTTCTGTCTCAAAATTCTATTCCAAGAAAAATGGTGTCCTTTAATACAGTTGGGAGGGGGGTGTTATATTGTTATATTTATTTTTACATACACTGTTTCTATAGGTATGTATTTACCAACATAGGAAAAATAAACTTATCGGACACATGTAGCAAACCTTCCCCTCAAAGAATTTTGAACGTGTACTGCCTGAACAGAAAATAAGGAATTATTTTAGAGGGAAAGAAATGAAGGAGGAGAAAAAATTACCTTCTTTTAAGCCTAAAATCCACATGGTATCCAAGGCATCAATTAAGGTAAGCCCAAGTCCAAACCACTCACTGTAGGACTTAGACAAAGGCTTCAGCTCATCATGGCCCCAGGCAAAATCCTTGTATCCTTTCCATGCATGGCGGAATGCTTCTATCACAGCCATCTGACGTTCGTTTATGGGCACTGCGAAGGGAAAACAGCACCTTGCTCAAGAGTTATGCAGATATATCAGACACCATTTTGCTGCATTCTACCCAAAACAAACTTTCTTCCGAATTAAATGATCAGTGAAATGGAAAAAACATCCTCAGATCATTCTTTTCAGTACAGTTTTTCCTCTGTGGAATAACTAGTCAGTGTTTCTGGTCAGCAATTCAACCAGGTGAAAACAGAGATCTGTCCCTGGGGAAAAAAAAAAAGTCATTTCCGCAAATAAAACATTAAAATAATCACATCCACAATTGTTAGATGAGTATCACTAAAGCTCAAAGACCTGAAAGTCAGGAAATACCAGAATTAAGATAGCTTAAATCAACTGTAATTCAACTGCTGAATACATATGCTTAACAATATAATCCTCAGCTAATTTACCACATACCATTTTTTCTTCATCTTCCCTGTCTTATTCATTGCTTTCTGCTAAATTTAAAACTCAGTTATACAAACCTAATTCTCTTGAACTTTTCATTTAATATGAAAAAGCAAGAAAATTTACATTTTCCATCTTGGGCAAACCCTTGTCTTTTTCCATGATTCTACTGAAATTTTTGCTCGCGATTTGCTATAAAGTTGAACTCATATTACACATCCAACACGAAAAATCTCAAGGCCCTTAGCTTAAATTTTGCAAAATTATAAAAAAACAATTCTAGAGTGGGAAACACCAAGCAGCATAACTAACCCTGTATATATTAAGCTAGCATAAGTCAGATATATCAAATTGTATCATATTTATCATATCAGAACTTCCTCCTATGAACCCAGAAAGGAGAACAACAGGTTGTTGTTCCACAAGGACAGCAGCCACAAAAACAACTTCTACATCTTTCTGGTGAGCCTTAAAAATAGTTCAGTTCAATTCACAGAGGAAATCACTTTCCCTGTATTTGCAGAACAAAAAGAAAACCACTGCTGAAAAAGGAAGCTATCCCTTTCAAGCCCTCTCTCTTTAGACTATCCTTTCCTGCAGAAAAGATGGGAATGCCTGCCTCCTCCCAGAGGCTGCATTTCAAAGATTTGTCACTAAATTTTATTTTCAATAGTATTCTAGCAGTTTAAGGAAAGCAAAGAGCTGAGCAAGAAGATCAGAATTCAGTGTATGCCCTCCATAAACAGAAAAAAAACCCCAAAACAAACAAGCAAAACCACCACAGAAACCATAGTGCAAATATTTCATCACATTCTTTTGGTTTCTCTTGTATGGATTGAGAAGAAACTGAGGGGGAAGAGAAGCACCGAAAATTCAGAAGAAGGAATGAAACTGAGGGCACCTCCAGAGTCCAGTCAACATGAAAACGTTATCTTCTGGCAAGGCAAGAAAGTAGTCTAAAATCAGAAGCCCCTCTAACTTGCAACCCCCTTGTTGCAGAATTTCAGATGAAACAATGCTGCTGCAAAAACACATAGTGTGAGGGAATATGCCCATAAGTTTGTATATAAGTCCCTTGGTAGTTACAGTCTTGATAACATATCCTGATAATATTTTATGTAGCACCTAAGAGAAGACACCCAATGCATTTTCCAGAAGCAGGCACATGCATTTAGGAGAGGACAGAGGTAACAGTGAGCTGCAAGAAACAGCACGTATACCATGCTCTCTGCAACCTACTGAGACGCAGTCTGGCCATTATAGCCATGGCAAATAATTCCCTCCCATGGCATTGAACATATCAGGTAATTTTTACTGATGCATCAGAATATTCTTTATTCAATACTGAAAAATGAGACTGCAATTCAATCAAAATTCTGAAGGCTAATAAGTGTGAAGGCTGTCATTGTAGAATAAGGACACTGAAAGGCGTGAGTGTTGTAGGCAAATAATGTTTCCTAAACTTTTTGTTTCCTTTAATTTAAATAAATAAATAAAGTAGATGTGTGTGAAGGAATTGCACAACTCCAATCATAAAAGTGAACAGAAATAAAGATATCATTAACTGTACTATTTACCTGGTTCCTTCTGGTCTTCAGCTTCCACAGAAGAAGGTTTTTCTGGTTCCTTTATTTTACTAGATGGAGGTTCAGTGCTTTGGTCAGGTTCTATCACTGCTCCCCTCCAGCTGCAAATACAAGGGATTATGATTTAGATAATTTCATCACAGAAAGTCATGCAAATGAATGAGGCTTATCTCTACATTTCCTTTTTCTCACAATACTTTGACAAAACAGGAGCTGGATTTTGTATCAAGTATCAAAATAACTATGTTGTCCACTAGGTAATTTTTCTGTTCAAAGAAATAAATTTGCACCAGAGAAATTTTACTGGATTAAGAAATGTGTCTTACAGGCTCTTGGAATTTCATTAAATGTCTTAGCAATGTGATTTAATAAAGAACTTCTAAAAAGAATTAAAACCCCTGAGAATGCTGCATTAGAAGTATTTTGTTACCTACCAGTTCTGAAATGATCATAGGAGCCACTAACACTAAATAGTACCACACAAAGGATGATCATCAAAAAATCATAAATAAGCACAAAGGACTAGCTGCTTAAAGTACTTGCTTTACTACCAAGGGGTTCATTAGCCTTCCCTACCACCACAGATGCATACATCAGTTTTTATGTTTTTTTCTTAAGAATCTCCTGAAGAAGTCTTTCAGAATAGACATCAGTCAAGCTAAGTTCATAACAAGATCAAACAATCGTGACCATGCTGTTTAATACATAGATATTGCCTTTGAGTTCATGATACGGTTCCTAAGGAAACCAGGCTTACAGGATCTTTAAAGTTTACATTGCTTACAGTCAGCATACCAGACTTACATAAAACCCATCATTTCATTTCTTACTTTCATTCTTTACATTTGTAACAAGTCTTCACTATGCTTTCATTGCTGTCCTAAGTTTTCCTGTTACCATTCGTTTAACTCTATGAGTTATAGTGTAAGCGGAAGCACAGGAAGAAAACACTTCAAGTCATTCTAAGAGATTTCAGATAATACCAACAGCCAAAATGCTGATGCAGGCACAGTTCTGATGCTATGATCAACTCAGCTGTGCCAGTGCTGAAAAGGACACAAACATTAAAAAAATCAAGCCTGATGTTCCAGATCTTAAGAAACTCTGCTGAACTTGCAGTAGTCCTTTCTATATCCAAGTTACATCCCTTCAGTTATTTCCAAAAATATAAATAGTCATAACAATATAGACCCTCTGTAAAAGACATTACTACATCTACATAAGGGGTCTTTGAACTGTATCATGAATCTTTTGTAAGAAAGGAATAAGCATATCTTGTACACACAACTACATACACGTCTACAGCTTCTACCAGTTCAGCTTGGGCTTACTGTGTTTAATGGCATCAAACCCTTAACCAACACTGACACTCGTATAACTTTCCAAGTCTGGCCCAGGACAAAGACACTTGTGACAGTATTACTGTATTCATACTGGTACATTAACATTTACTACAAAACAAACAGCGGAAACCTATAGACACTGAGATTCTCCTGAGTATCAAAAGAGTGTCTAAATCCATTGGAAATACAGGCAGTGTTGTAGGGCTCCAAACCCTCTGCAGTTCTACGATTCAAACACTAAAAACATAAAAGCTTCACATTCACTAAAATTAAAAAATAAATCAGTATAGCAATATCAACAGCTGTCAGGCCAGGCCTGAGAACAAGCATATGCAAGGAAAGAGATCAACCTCAGACAGAGACAACAAAAATCCCTTACAATTTTCACTCCAACACCCAATGAATCTTGATGGGGGCGACAGGGGAGCACTGTAACTTGCTGGAAACATTTCTACCTTATAACAGATTTTTCCGTTTTCTCTTCTTTATCAGCCTGGACTGGCTCTTCTACAACCCTGATGGTATCATGTCGGGTCTTCAGCCTCACATCCCTCCACGGTGGCTTGATCTGAAGATTGGAAGAACCACGCCGAACATGAGCCGGTTTTGGCAGTTTCTGAGAAAATAAAGAAAAAAAGAAAAAGGCATGGTATGTTGCAGACATTTCAAACCATAAATCAACAGCATTCCAGCATTAAACATAACTTCAGATAAATCTTATTTTGGTATCATATCAGCATGCAAGTTCTGCCCCGAATGGAAGGTATGCTAAAGACCTTGGGTTTTTGTTTGTTAACAAGTTAACTTTTAACCAAAAGTTTAAACCTTTTTGGTAAAATTATCCAGTTCTTAAGTTTACACTGATAAATTACTTTTAAACTACCCCTGCTGTTACCAGACATTAATTTAACACAAGGCATTGCCAAAGGATTCTAGAGATATTTGATTCTATTTTACTAGGCAAAGTAAATTTTTATTAGAATTAGCAAAAGGCATGCAAAAAAAAGCATACACAATGCCAGGGTTCAATAATGCCAAGAATTGCTATATAGTAATACATGTACATTTATGCACAATGAGGGAAAGATTTAATACAAAATTCCATATTAATTAACTGGAAATCCCAAAATTCATGAGGTAAATACATGAAGAGCAACACAGTAACCAGTATTCCTCTACTCTACTAATCCACACCCTAATCAGTTCATGTTTCTCTCCTGTCACACGCCCCACAAATGTGACCCTTCGAAACCTACCAACATCTGTTAGGTTCGTCCATTTGCTGCTATTTCTCAGGCTACCAGAAAAGCTATTCCAGTCCAGCGTGGCACTGACTGTATGCTACGGCTCATATTCAGCCATGACCCTATTTAGACTCCTCACGACAGCAAGACTGACGTCCAGAGCACGCCCAAGTCCAAGCAAATTAATCAGAGCAGGAAAGTGAAGCCTCAAGTAAGAGGTCACTGCGACCTAAAGGCCTGTCTCTCCTAGGTATACCAGTGATTAAGAAACAGTACACTGACCACTTAAATAAAAATGGTAAAGCCAAGAAATAGTTTATCAAAGTCCTTTCCAAGAGGACAGCATTCCACCCAGAGCAGACTTTTATTGCAAGTTACAACTCCTTTCTCCTCACCGGCTGTTGGAACCAAGCACTGTTTGCAGCTTTCACAAGCTCTCTGGTAGCTTTATAAAACTCCTTTATTCTCATAGTACCTGTGGTGAAAGCTCTGGGTAGTCTCCAAGGTTGGCATCTGCTTTCTGAGGTGCTGGTAGAACGGCTGGATTTGCTAGCTTTAATCCAGGGATTTCTGATTCTGTTCTCTGATCATCCAACAATTTGTTTGTTAGACCTAGACACACAAAACTGCTCAGCACAAGTATCAACAGGTTAGGCTCCAGCTATAAATTTGTAAGAGTTTGCTGCATTCATACTGAATGCACCTCCAGAAAGTTTTTCCATTCACAAAACGTTGATAAACACACACTAATTGTTAGATACAAAGTGTCTTTTGGTATTAACACTCCCCCTAATATACAAGAAGGCTGCTAAAAGGCACATACTTTTTTTAATTGCTGTTATTTTAGCTTCTCAATACAGCCAGTAAGATAATACCAAAAGTAAATGTGCCTTTGTATTGTAGAAAAGCTTGGAATTCTAATCTGATGGACAATCAAAACCAAGAGAGGATTATCCTATCCTACTGTTTACATTTGAGTTACCGGTATCTAAATACAAACATAATAATAAAAAAACCACTCACAGCCCCAAAATCTTAATCAACTAAAATAAAAGGTTGCTCTAGTCAAGATAAACAATGAAAAGGCATATGAAAAATATTTCTGATTAAGCAGAAACAAGTCATTGAAACATGCCGTATAAGATCATCTCACAACTGTGCTTTAATGGATATACCCAGTCACTGTCAATAAAAGTTAAAACTAGTTATTAGAACTACAACAGTCTCTTAAATATAATACCACATTCCAGTAATTCTGAGCTATACAGAACACATACTTTTCCATGGTTCCCCGATGCTTGCGTATGAAATGACTCCACAGACTGCCAAGAAGGCAAACAGGAAAAGAATTATGCTCCGCTGTAGTCGAGACAGCTGCTTCCATTTCTTTAGGAGAGAAAATAAGTAAGAAGAAGAACATTTAGCATGACATTAAAAGCCTACTCAGTCAAAAATAAACTCTTATTGGTTCATTCAGAGCAAGAAACACAAAAGTGAGTAGCTTTAATTTTACTGTTTCCAACTGCAGACATCCATTGCTTATTTTCTTTGATGACAGAGAAAATAGAAACATAACATGCTATCATATGGCACAGCAGGCTCAGAGAAACATCAGAGCCACTTGCTGCAAGGACCTCAGAGACTGACAAGTGCCGAGATTCCCAGAGAACATCACCTACAGTGCGCTGACTTTCATAGAATCATAGAATCTTAGGGTTGGAAGGGACCTTTAAAGGCCATCTAGTTCAACCCCCCTGCAATGAGAGGGGCACTTCTTCAACTAGAGTAGGGTGCTCAGAGCCCTGTCCAACCTGACCTGAGATATCTCCAGGGATGGGGCATCTCCCACCTCTCTAGGCAGCCTGTGCCAGGGTTTCACCACCCTCATTGTCAAAAATTTCTTCCTTATATTTAGTCTAAATCTGCCCTCTTTTAGTTTAAAACCATTACCCCTTACCCTGTCACTACAGGCCACATCCTGTATCCATTTCATCACAACCTTTGCTGGCTGACCTCTGCATCTGCCCAGGTGTCAATTGGGAAATAAGCCAAAAGCCTCTTTCCTCCCTTCTGGCTGGGGAGGTACTGCAGAACATACATGCAAAATAAGAAGCAGAAGAAAGTGGTAGGAAAACTAAAAATGTTACTGCAGCAAAGAAAGGCTCAAAATAAGCTAAGCATCAGTCACTGGACAAGAAAAGCCAGGCATCCTGCCTCTGACAGTCACATGTGGAACTGTCAAACAGAACAGGTCCCACCACCACGAGTAAAGTCACCAACCCACAGCAACAGGAAAATTAAGTCAACCAACAGAACAATGAGAAAGACAAAACCACAATGTTTTCAAGTTTAGTCCTGGGCAAAAATGTGTTTTTAGAACTGAAGTATATACAACAAAATCACTAAAAGTCAGACAGCAAATGCTACGTTAGCCTGAGAAAGAAGTTTCCTCCATTTGTAGAGAAAGCAGTTGGAGTTAAACATTAACTGCTAAATTACCATTTTGTTAATTTTCTAACAGTCCTATCAAAATTCACTAGAGCAACATTTTGCTTCTAATTACTGGTTTTGGCGTACAGAGACAGCACTTCAGTGCCAGCACTACACTTGGGAACAACCTCCAGATTCCTACAAACCACTCTACACCCCACAGCTCTTCCCATAGTCCTCATCCTCTTCATAGCAACCAGAGGCTGTAAATGTTTCAGTGAAGAACTGTCAATGTGCTCACATTGTCAAGACCCACAGCACACACTTCTGTTTTCCTCCCACACTGCTGACAGTACAGTAATCTTGTACAGGAATCCTGTACACCCTTCCCTATGCACACTGCAAGATGCTGATCCCACTCCTTCACCTTTGACTCTACCCGCACGGCCAACCATATCATCATGTCACAATTGCAGAAGGATGCTTGAAACCCAGCAGCCCTGTGTTTCCTCACGGTAGGATGGGAAAAGCGGCATTGACTGTGATGTCCTGAGATGGGTAGGAATGAGATATAAGAATACATGAGAGCATTCATCACCTTCTTTCTTTTTTTTGCTGACAAAAAACAACGATAAAAGGAAGGGTGAAACATCTTGTGCCCCAATAGAGAGAAGCTGCCATACTGTGTCCCTAAAAAAGTTCTTCATATGCTTCACCTAACCACCTGTAAAGCCTCTATAGGTGGCTATACATCATCCTGTATCTGCAATAAGGGTTAGCTTGTCCCTTTCACTCCCACCCGGCCTCTCCAGCCCAAGACTCCCACCCCTGGTAAAGCTGCCTGCCCACTCCCAGTAGGGAGGAAGTATCCAAGCAGACACAAAGGTTACTTCCACACAGCTCTGCCGGAAACCCCTCTTCTCACACTCAGCCTTCCCACAGAAAGCAGAACCGTTCCCTTTACTCTCCTAGGGCAGAGGACAGGGGTCTGTCCTCAAGCCCTAAAATAGGGGGCAAAGGCACCAATACCAAGTCTCACCCCGCCTCCACTCCTGCCCGGAGAGTGCAGTGTTGCCTCCTAAATGCCCACTAGCATAGGGCAGGTTTCCCCTCAAATGCACACCATATCCCCCCGTCCCAGCTTTCTTTGCAAAAATTAAGATATGACTTAGAACCCCCTCAACCAGCCTGCACTCCACCAGATTCCTACCAGGTGCAGAGCTGCCACCCGAACACTGCTCTTCGCAGAGCCTCCAGCCCGGGACCACACCTGCCGAAACCCCAGGGCATGCCCATCCTCAAGTGCTCACAGCTTAGGCCCCCTCCCCAGCTCAGAACGAGGGGTCCCAAGCCAGGATGCCCAACACAAAGTCCTGCTGCACCCAAGCCCAGAGACACCTCTCGTTGTCCACTCCCTACAGGCCGTGTCTCCCTGCTCAACAGGGCTCCCCCACTGCCAGGTGCTCCCTGCACCCAGCTCGG